ATGTCATCTGGAAGTACGTGGAAAAGGGGCAGGTGCTTGGAGTGGCTCAGTCGGTAGGTGCTTCGAGTGGCTCGTTGGTGGGGGGGGGGGGGGGGGGGGGGGGGGGGGGGGGGGGGGGGGGGGGGGGGGGGGGGGGGCGCGGGGAGGGAGCGCCAACATGGCGCGCAGGCCGGAGTTCGTGCCTAATGAAGACTTCGAGAACGACCCTCGGCCAAAGCATGTCATCTGCAAGTACGTGCAGAAGGGGCAGGTGTGGATCAGCCCTTCGGAAGTGGACCCCAAGGGCAATCACGAGCTACGTTGCAGATTGTGTGGTAACCGGTGGGTCGGGAACCAGACCAAGGGAAGCCTGCACTTCAACACCGCACGCGAGCATGACAGGTGCCCGCACGCGCGTGTACATTCTTAGGGAGTTGCAAAAGGGGGGCATAGCCTTGAAGGGTTCCCTCCCTGTCTATGTGCGGGAGGTTGTTAAGGAGGGTGAGCTCGATTTCGAGCATCCCCTCAACTGGAGATTGCCTGGCGGTGTAGCACGACAGCTCCCCCTGGTCCCTGCGCGTGATTTGGCACAGGGACGAGGGCGGGCAGACCGAGAAGTTCCGGCACCGGTGGTACGACAGGACGGAGCGCGCCCCTTCGAAGGAGCGGGCGCCTCTAGAGCAGCGAGCCCGTCCAGTGGAGGGGGAGAGGGAGCAGGAGAGGGCCCGTCAGGGGTAGAGGGAGTAGGAGAGGGCTCGCATGGGGGAGGGGATGAGTGGGACGAGACAGAGCGTGTAGAGCATGCAAGGGCGAGACGGTTTGATCCAGTGGGGAAGAGGCCGCATGGTGCTTCAGATTTGCAGCCAGGGAGGAGACGGTGTGTGCCTGAGGGGGCTGATGGCGGTCCGCGGGACGAGTCGCACTGGTGGAGGGAGAGTATGCTCCAGCGAGCGAGAGATAAGGGCATACCTGTCCTTGCCGACCTCGAGGACGGGCTGGCGGCTGACCCTGCGGAGCGTAGACAGGCTCGGCACCGAGTGCCCAGAGTGACCCAAACTCGTCTCGATGGTTGGGTCGAGCACCCCATCCAGTACGACCTCGACATGGCGTACATCAGATTCTTCGTGGGTTGTGGTATCCCGTTCAACGTCGCTAGATCGGAGTGGTATTTGGCTTTACACGACGTCTACCTCAGCCAGTTCAGGGGTCCGTACCGACCTCACCAGCCGGGGTCTGAGTTACTGCGCACGACTTTGTTGTCCCTGTTGTACGCGGAGCTCGATGAGCGCTTGCGGTATCACCGAGAGTCGTGGTCTGAGGGGGTCACTTTCATGACGGACAGCTGGTCGACTAAGGCCAACCGCCCTCTCTGCAACTACTTGGTTGCAGGGAGGTTGGGTGCATGCTTGTACCGTGTTGAGGATATGTTTGGTAGGGAGCGGACCGGAGCAGGTTTATACCTCAGATGGAGGGAGCTCATCCTGGAGATCGGCGCTCAGCATGTGGTAGCGATATGTACGGACAACGCGTTGGCCAACAAGGAGGCTTACCGTTTGCTCCGTAATGACCAGGATCTTTCATTGCGAAAGATCACTTGGATCCCTTGCGCAGCCCACTGCTGCAATTTGATGCTCACGCACATCGTTAGACAGCAGTGGGTAGCGCAGGTCATCGCAGAGGGGCGAGATATTACTTTGTTTTTTTGGCGGCACTCACGGATTGCGTACCTCCTGAGTCAGCAGTCTCCACCTGTGTCCTTGATCCGCCCGAGCGAGACATGGTACGGGACCAACTTCATCATGTTGAGGCGCATGCATTTTTTGATGGTTGTGTTAGCACCAGTGCCTGGGCGACGACCGCGTGGCTCCCCGCATTGTGGGACGTTGCACGTAGGTGCTTTGACCTTCTCCGCGATCCGCCGTGGTGGCAGCACGTGGAGCTTGTTGCCACCATTATGGGGCCCATTTACGAGCTCCTTCAGCAGGTTGATTCTGACGGGCGCAGGGTCGGCGACGTGTGGGGTCTACTGGACAGGCTGCGGATCACGGTCGATCAACTGTCTCTTAACAAGGCTTGTCACGAGCCCATCAAGAAGATAGTCAAGGAGAGGTCAGATATGCTCCTCACCCCGATTCATTGCGCTGCACACCTGTTGCACCCCAAGTACCGCAGCATCGATACCTTGATGCGAGGGAGAGTGCAGGAGCGCATTCTCGTGGAGAATGCGCTGCGCTCGATTACATCGCGAGCCAGATTGAGGGAGGCCGAGAGGAGGACGAGATGATTGCCGTATGGAGTTCTTTGCAGGACTTCCACGGCAAGTACCACACACCTGGTCATTGGGGAGGACCCGTCGGAGATGCGGATATCGAACAGCCTGACTTTGATCCCGTGAGATTGTGGAGGTTTCAGGGGGGTGAGCATCGGATACTGCGAGATGTCGCCATGCGCTGCTTGGGCGCGTGGACCACTGCCTCTCCCTGTGAGAGGAATTGGTCCACACACTGGGTAGGGGAACGAGTCTAGGTTAAGGCTAGTGAGCTAGGGCAGGAATTCGGGATCTCTCGTAAACTAATGCCTCAGTATTTTGGTCCCTGGGAAGTCCTGGATGTAGTGGGGGATGAGATGGATGGTCCTACCTATGTTATCCGTATCCCTGGACACCTACGCACTCACCCTGTCTTTCATGCCGCAAAGCTTGCGCCTTTTGCTGAGACTGATCAATTCCCTTCAAGGAGATCGATGCTACCCCCAACCATGGATGGTGAGGTGGACATCGACGACATTGTGGATCACAGAGATCTGCCTGTTCAGAAGCCATTGGGTAAAGGAAGACCTCCTAAACCCAAGAGAGAATATCGTGTCAGATTCAGGCATCATACGGATCCAAAAGAGGACCGGTGGTTCACCAAAGAGGAACTGATTTACACATCTCCTCCGGTGGTGGCAGAATATGAATGGATGCTGAAAGGGAAGGCACCTGCGAAGTAAGCATCTCAACGGACTTTCGAAGCTAAGGGGGATGGAATGTGAGGATTGAGCCCTCAAGAAGGGGCCTTGCCATGATGTACATGTTCTGGGCTAAGGCCCCAGCAAGCCTCGTGCCCGCCCTAAGTGAAGGCGGGCCAGCAAATCAACAAGAGCCCTCTGTGCAAACATTTCACGAAGTGGGGTCCATACAGTTGCAGCATGCCAGTTGGTTGGAGTGCACCGAGTCTCGGATCTCTGCAAATGCGGAAATCCCAGGGCCCCTGAGTTGGTTAGGCCCTGGGCACATAAACGTGAGGCCGACAATGCATGCTGGATGTAGAGGCCGAAAATGCCAATGGGAAATCGGCCCACTATCTGAATCTGGCCGCAGGCCTTGATGAAAGAGGCGCAACTGCATCTCCCGGGCCCCAACTGCATCGGGCCTGGGCTCAGGTACTGGGGCCCAGACGCAGGCTGAAGGGAGGCTGCCCACACGCAACACTGGCATATAGGCAAGCAGGGGGAGTGGGCAGGGATCTTGGCCATAGCGGGCAATGCCGGCACGCTGCGCTAATGCGAGCTGCTGCGCTAAGCTAGGCTGAGGTGAGAGACAGGCAGCCGCTAGGCGGTAGAGCGCTGCCTGTACACAGGGCGCTGGCGGCCATAGCCGGGCTGCCTGAGGGCGCAGGGGAGGTGAGGGCGAAAGTGGTTCTTCGGAGGTGAAGGGCGCTGTGTGGGATAACAAGGGAGAGTGTGGGTGAAGAGGGAGACGTACCTGGTGGAGATGGGAGGTCGGCATTGGTGTTGACATCATCACTCGCTGGTCGTCAAGTTGTCTGGTTGCTTTCATATTGTAGTTGTAGTGTTAGGCTGTAGAGTAGGAAGGGCGCCTGGCGCCATTCAAGAGAGAGAGCTACATTGGGTTATGCTGTTGGTGTTGCCCTGTTGGGCTTGGACATTGACTCACGATTCTCCTGTATCGTTCTCAAATGGATGGTTACTCGGTTCAATTGTGCTATGTGCTCTTGCTTTGACTACTTGGACTTCAGTGTGATTTTGCAATCTGGATTTCTGTGCTTCGTCCATATTCATGTTCCTTGCATAGGCAAGGCTGAGGGCTCCCTTTTCTGAGCCAGGACCTGGCAAAGTTCGGTCTTCGTCTGCTCAGCAATTGGTGGGCCGCTGGAGCTTGATCGAAGTGTCTCTCAGGGAAAAACGTGCCCATAACAGAATTGAGGAACAACGAAGTATGAATTTGACTACCGTCCAAAAAAAAAAAGAAAAAAAAAAAAAAAAGAATTTGACTACCGTCTTCACCCGAATACAAAGCCCGGTCATTACAGCCGAATGTGGTGCACTTTGAAGTCCAGATCGTTCTATTGGGGTGAAGACGGTAGGAACAAAATGATCGCACAAAAGGAAAAGAACCGAGAGACTAGAGATGCCAGACTCAGGATAAATGGAGAAAAAACATAAGAGTAGGGAAGAGCACGGAGGGAGTTATGAGAGTTCTACCGTCTTCCCCCCAACACAATGCAACCTCATTTTGGCGGTATCTGGCCGGAAATATATCTTGTATTCATTCATTTTTAGGGTGCGTTATGTTCGGTGGAAGACGGTAGTGGTAGTGGTTACAGCGTTATCTTACAAGCCAATGAATAGCTGATCCCCGTTGGTGGCTTCATACAAAACAGTCTACACGAGCCGATCATTCTGATTAAAAAATCCAAAAGCAATTCAAATAAATTTAGTGCTCTCTAACCAAACTGATCGAAACACGTGATTCTCATGGGTGCCACACCGGTTTCCGATCGTTCCTCCCTCCACCCACAAGACGAGAACCTGTGGCCTCATGAGCCTGCGTTCATCAGAGCCCCTCAGAGTCTCCCACATGAACTCGAGATATGCACACGTCGCCACACGGGCTACGGCTACAGTCTTCCCCCGAATACAACGCACGGTCTTTATAGCGGAATTTAGACCGAAAGATACGCCAAATTCAGCTATAATGACCGTACGTTGTATTCTGGGGAAGACTGTAGGCTCGGTGACATTGGGGAACCAGCCGACGTTAACACTCAGCTTGACTCAAGTAACACTACCGTCTTCCCCCGAACATAACGCACCCTAAAAATGAATGCATACGAGCTATATTTCCAGCCAGATACCGCCAAAAGAAGAGTGCGTTGTGTTCGGGGGAAGACGGTAGCTCCAGAGAGACAACCGTCTATCGTTGATCACAAGCAAACTCTGTCCATACTCTGCTTTACTCTGACCACTGGTCCAAAATGAAGACTTCAAAAAAAAAAAGAGAGAAGACTATCGTATAGTCATTATGAATATTGATATGATGGTATCTGGAAATGTTATTATGTTAGGATGGAGGCCGGAAGATGCAACAGCCTGATGATACCCTCGTGATAGAGGAGACGAGAAATCTGGAGAGCCAACGAAGAAGAAGACTTCAACGCTCGGTGGCGTTGATGAGAGCAAGAGGCGCTAACTGCAACCAAGTTTGAAATTCTCACTCGGTACCCCCCCAGAATAGAAGGGGTGAGTGTGTTGTGTGAAAAAAAAAAAAAAAAACAGCGATTTCGTCAAAACGGACATTTTATACTAATAAGCGAGCTCCCTCTACGTCTCTGCCCTCAACAAGAGCTTCACTGTCTTCACATGACCACTGATAGTCACTGCTGGTCCCCTGATGAGCTTGTATGCGTTACCTCCTGGTCTTCCTCCATCCAATACCAGTCCTTTCCGCCACCACGTGCGCAAATCAGTCCTGATTCCGCGGCAAGTGGCTTGCAAGCCGCATCCTTGACCACAAGACAGAATGCCGGAAACATGAATGTTGGTGACATCAACAATGGCCAAACGCTTGGTGTGACAAAAACGCAGGGTGGACAACATTGGAATTTGGAATGATTGGATGGCCACAGTGAGTCCGTTTTTACCTCTACCACGCCCTTTAACGATGAGAGAGAGGGAGTGGAAGTTAACAGAACCCTGCTCAGCGGTGAGTCGGTGACCATGGAGAGCGATCAGTATCTAGTGAAGAATCTGAAGATAGCATGTTGAACATGCGCATGCTCTCACAACCCTTTGACCATGATGGTAGCAGGTCCCCTGCCTGCTGGCACCCTCTTCTGCATGGCAGTGTCTCCTTTTCCACTCTTAGTAGTGAGTCGTGACCACCTAGTAGAGCCATTGGCTTCCCGACCTCGACTTTAGGAGACTCGGTCCCTCCGGCGATGGTAAGTGAAGATGTTCACACCGGAAAACGGATGACATAAAAAACGACCCCGTTCTTGCACATGCGCTCATGAAAAAGTCTGACTCCAAACGCTCATGCCTACAGGCTACTGCTAGTACCCTGCATCTTGCGTTCGTCCTGCTCTGCATCCCGTTTCCGTTCCACACTCGCCTCTCGCCCTCTGCAGCTCGAGTCGCCCTCCGGGCCCCGGCCCATCCTCCACAGGATCTCTTGATCCACGATTTTCGGATGGTCAGTGCCTTTTGGCTAAAAATAGATCAAGCGTAGTCTTCGTTCTGACCAGTTTAATATCTGATCCGTGGTCCATCGGACCACAATTAAAAAAAAAAAAAAAAAAAAAAAAAAAAAAAAAAAAAAAAGGTCCAAATATGATCTGGATGATCCTCACTCGTAGCTGCGTCGCTCTCCTCGCTCTCCGCCTCCGAATCTCCGTCCTGGTTTTGCTGCTCTCGCTGCGTGGTGACCGTCCCGGTAGAGATTTGTACCTCCCACGGTCTTCCCCTGAACACAACGCACCCTCATTTTGGCTGTATCTGGCGGAAAATATATCTTGTATGTATACATTCATTTTTAGGGTGCTTTACGTTCGGGGGAAAACGGTAGTACGAAATGCCAAATGGTAACCTGAAGCAAGGAGGTTAACCCATCCGTCTAAGACTTGGATCTCCTCTCCGCTCTGTTCTGGGCCGCAGAAATAGGGTAAACGCCCCCTGCAACCTGTCATTTCTCCTCATCTAGTCTTCTCTACCCCCTTCAACGTTGATTTTCAACTTATCCTCCGGATGGTAGTGTCCCCGACTCCCCGTCGTGTAGGATCACTGTGATCATAGGCCCTTCTTCAGATTCTTGTTCCACCTACTCCACACATACTTCAGGTACCTAGGCCTATAGCCATGCATTGCATGCAAGCCTCTGCAAGAG